AAACGAGTGGGGTTTGGGAACTCGGACTGGGTAACACTTTGGGGTAGACAGAAACGAGTGGGGTTTGGGAACTCGGACTGGGTAACACTTTGGGGGAGAGAACCAAATAAACAATTTTACTCACATTTGATTGCTAGTCGGAGGATCTAGTTCATGACCACAGGGTTGAGAGAGGACGCATTTGCAGTCCACACCACATTTGCTTTCCATAATGATGGAAACAATGTCATCAGCATCATTATTATGTCTCTTTCTTTCTTTCTTGCAGCTTCTTCGCAGCTCTCTCGTCAATAATCGAACACAAGCTGATATCGCCAGACAGCTGGGACTTGACGAGTACATTAACTTTGGCTCAGCGGTAATTACATTCATTTTATTACTATTTACTGGGATGAATCATTCTTTAGCAAAGCACTAGCCTGCGTTCGGAGCATTGAAGAAGGAAAAGGAGAGGGGCCAAACACGGTGCATTTTGGTCTATCTTGGGTACAAACATCTTTAGCTCACCATTCCTTATTTGGTGTTGTTTTTAACCCAAGCTAGACCAGAATGCACCTCGTTCGTGGACCTCGGAAAAGGTTTCTCAGTGGTAGTGGTCAGTCTATAACTGGTTTTGATCGGGACAATTTCTCTTTATATTAGGGACAAAAGAAAATTCGAGAAAAACTGCTGGCAGATGTTTTAGAAGGTAAGTGAATCAGTATCTGGAGTCAAGAATACGATTCCCGTCGGATTTTCCGTTTCAAAATGTTCTTAAATTGAGTCAATAGTGATGACATACTTTTATTTTTCTCTTTTTGTCTTATTCCAGCGTTTCTCGCTGCTATTTACATTGACAAAGGATTGAAGCACGTTGAAGCGTTTTGTAGAGCTTGTTTCTTCTCTCGTGTAGAGGTATTTCCATACTCAATCTATGATTTCCTTTGCCTAAAATCTCCTCTGAGCCGCCATTTTTTCCTGGTCAGTCCAGGGCGTAACGCAGACCAGGAGCCATGAAGGAGTTCCCAGCATCCCAGTCTTAACTTGGGCAACTTTTTTATCCTATATTTACCTAAATTCGTAGTTTGTCAGAACCAATTTTCTTAGGGAAGAAATTGAATCAAATCTTACTCCCCTTTCATGACACCCCTCACAAAAAGCTCGTCTCGTCTGGGTGTCTTTTATATTATAGGTTTTTAAATCATTATGGTTGTTTACAGGAGAACATCGTGAATCAAGAGTGGATCGACGCTAAGTCACAGTTACAGCAATGCTGTCTTACTCTGAGAGAAGAGGGAAAGACTCCTGAACTACCAGAATACCGGTAAGCCTTGCTGTATTGTCTCGAAACGTACAGCTAGCTATATCGCTAATCTAGCTTACTAGCTAATCAGTCATACAATAAGTGATGAGAACGCGAAAAAAGTCTGAAGAGAAGTACGAGCCGTTCCGTTCTGTTCACTAATAATGAACAACTCTTGAACATTAAGTGCTCGCGAAGCGAAGTAACTATATAATCAATATACACCTACTTGCAAGAACGTTGTCATACGATATTAGAACATTAGTAATTTGTGAGAAAGGAATACATTAAAAGACAAAAGAAAAAGTTCAACTTCAGTGATCTTCTTTTGTTTTTTAATATAATTCCTATCCCACTAAATCACTAATGTTCTATTTTCGTATGACAACGTTCTTGCAAGTTGGTGTATATAAAATAAAAAGGCGATAAGTTAACCCCTCCCTCGCTACCCCACCCCCCCGATCCTCCCTTTGTATCAGCCACTACGATACTGGAATAAGCCCTAAACCCTGTGATTTGATTTTTCACAGGATTCTACAGAATACAGGTCCTGCACATCGCAAGAGATATCAGAGTAAGTCATTTTACGGTTTGCGGTTGAGTTTACAGTACAGGTAGTCACATGGCCATCCAATGTCTCCGCGAGTCGGGTTTTTTTCCAGGTTGGACGCGCGGAGAGAGAGAGAGAGTTTGAAGCGGCACTCATTTCGACTGATTTGGGCATTCTTGTTTTGTTTAGTTGTTGTCTACTACAAGGGCAAGAGGTGTGGCAAAGGTGAAGGCCAGAGGTAGGTTGAAGGGCAGTTATCTCGCGCAATGTTATTGGTTTGACAGATGCGTGACGTCGATATACATTACCGTGGTCACGAAATCTACTCTAAGCGGAAGACTTTCACTTGCCGTGACCGTGACGGTGATGTGATTCCCTGGTTCGATAGATGACGTTGATACCATGCCATGACAATGCCGTGACGTTTTTTTGCGTTCACAATATCTACTCTAGTAATGACTTGTTACGTGACCTTGACGGTGGTGAGTCAGATAATTTTGATTGGACGAGCAGTAATCCTGCGCAGTGATTGGTCTAGTGGATTTCGGCATGTCTATTAATCATGGGTATGTTTATTGGTGTTTCAGTATCCACCAAGCAGAAATGGCAGCAGCTAGGGATGCATTGTCGTCCAGTAAGTGATGCGAAACTATTGGTAATGATTAAGAAGGTGACGATATTATTGGCAGCGATGGGGCTAGACATTACTAATTGTAGATGATGATGATGATGTGGTAGTGTTGATGATGGTGATGATGATGATGATGTGGTAATCATAACTCATGATTATGGTTGATCATTGACAACTGCAGCTAGTTGATGGCGGTATTTTCCACTTGTTCACTTAATATATTTAATTCTTATTTTTCCCAAGGTTATTTTCCTGAATTTGCACGACAAAAACATTATCTTGACGATAAGCACCAGAACAAACGAACAAGACAGCACAACCGATCATCCCGACCCAGGGTCGCGGACAGACCACACCGTGAAGAATCACCCGTACAAGAACCAATGTGGGTTGACAACGAATAAACTTTCAGAAAAAATCCCACAAAATTATTAGTCTCCTTTGCGGCGGAGAACACTAGATTAGAGTACAAGTTATAAGTTATTTTTAAATAGAGAGATTCAGGTTTGTTACTCCAGCATTGGAATGGCTTTTCTCTTTAAACAATCTAATGCCATTAACGTTGAAATGGCTTTCTGTTTTTGTTTTGTTTCGTCGGAGGAGTGGTTCCAGTCATAGAATGTTCAAATAGATTTCCGGCTTATGTCATTGAAATGGCTTCTCTATCTAGTCTGTTTAGCTTTGAATTGGCCTCCTGTTCTAGTGACATGAAAGGGATTGTAGTCATTTTGAATGGCTTTTTCTGACTTTTTCTAGCCTTGTGTGGGTTCGTCATGTCATAGCATTGCATTGGCTTCTTCAAACAATCCTCCCTTGCTAGCAGACGTCTCCCTCGTTGGCGATTCTCTGCCAACAATCGCTAGCAGGCAAAACAATCCTGGTTCATCTGATAAACAGAAATGCTTTATCAGATACCGTATCTGATATTTTTTATCAAAGAAATGAAAAATTTTCTTCTTTTATTCGCTAAAACGCAGTAAGAAGTATAGTACTTCTTAAGCAGTAAGATGAAATCATGTCCCCTTTGGTTGGGAAGCGCATACAAAATCGTCTTCCGATCTCCAAATAGCAAATGGGAAAAAATGAAAAAAATGTAGTTAAATAACTTTCGTTGTAAAACGATTGACAGTTTTAGATATTATTTATTGCAACTAAAAATCATGCTTATATTATAAAATTATCATCGTATTTATTTGATGAATTCTTATTGACATTTTTGACTTTTTAGAAAATAAAATGTTTCTATAAATCGAAGATTGCTTCTTTTTTTTTGAGGTCGGAAATTAATTTTTCCGAATTTAATTCCAAGGGTCTTTCGCCCGGAATAACCTCGTTCCCAAGCACTATAACTTATCTATATCCCTATATCTTCATGTATTTCATAAAAGCTACGCGGTCCACACATTCTCATTCTTTCATGTAAGATGATCGATTTTTGTTGAAAATGTCATTAGATTATTGCGGGATTCCCGCGGGATTGGTTTATCAGAAAATCTATTA